CCCCCCCCCCCCTCCCTGCAGCTGGGTACATGCGCTGCTAGGGCAATGAGTAGGAGCCAGTCTCCAAAACTGCCCTGCAGCCTCCCAGGGATCCCTGATCCCTGCTGCTGAGTGTGGCAGGAGCAGGAATAAGAAATTCCTGGGTGGCGCTGGAGCAAGCTCTTGCGATGCACGTCACCATGCAAAGTTGGGAAGCTGCCTTGGAGCGTCAGGGGCAATGAGTAGGAGCCAGTCTCCAAAACTGCCCTGCAGCCTCCCAGGGATCCCTGATCCCTGCTGCTGAGTGTGGCAGGAGCAGGAATAAGAAATTCCTGGGTGGCGCTGGAGCAAGCTCTTGCGATGCACGTCACCATGCAAAGTTGGGAAGCTGCCTTGGAGCGTCAGCCCTAGTCCTGTCCCTCCATCCTTCCCAGAATAGGAGCTGGGGTCCAGGAGGAAGCAGCAACTTGGAGGGGGCCTGGTGTGTGGCCACACGGGACGGGAGTTTTATTCTCTCCAATTGGCAATACTGTCTGTTGTCGAACTTTTCTGTGTCCTCGTGGAGCTCCCAGTCAGCTTGTTGCCTTACTACTTCCCACGCGATATGCAGAGGGAGCGCTGATAAAAGCAGCATGTAATTAAGCAGAGGTTTGGTGACTTTTTTTAGCGGAGTAGGCCCAGTCCTGTTTGCATTGATTTCATTAGAATAATGTGAATAATTATTTTATTACTGAACATTCTGAAAAAAATATGTCTAGAAAATTTGGTTTGGCCTTTTTGGAGTGTTGAAAAAATGTCTAAAAATAAAATTGAAGACATTTTCAAAAAGTCATTTTGAATCGACCTTCCCGCCCCCAAATGTTTCCTTTTAAAAATGCCCAAACGGGTTTTGTAACATTTTTTCTTCTGAAATGTCTTAGGGAGGGGGAAGCTTTTCAGGGAAACAGTTTAGTGAACACGACACAAATTCATGGAATGTTTCAGAATCTGCATTTGTCAAGATCTCCAGGTACTCAGTTCGCTCCACAGCTGACTGTGAATGCCTTTGGGTTCACGGGGAGGCCGTCGCCTCTGCCCTTCTAAGGGTCTGTCTACACTACCACCCTAGTTCGAACTAGCGGGGTAATGTAGGCAACCGGAGTTGCAAATGAAGCCCGGGATTTGAATTTCCTGGACTTCATTTGCATGTTGCCGGGTGCCGCCATTTTTAAATGTCCGCTAGTTCGGACTCCGTGGAACAAGGAGTACAGGTAGTTCGGAGTAGGAAGCCTAGTCCGAACTATCTAGTTCGTGCCGCGTGTAGCCGCGGGGCACGGAGTCCGAACTAGTGGACATTTAAAAATGTCCCGGGAAATTCAAATCCTGGGCTTCATTTGCAACTCCGGTTGACTACATTCCCACCCTAGTTCGAACTAGGGGGTAGTGTAGACAGACCTGAGACTGGCTTTCACTCACTCGTAATCAAAAATCATTGCCCTTGGGTTTGTGTTTTTAGGGCTCCTTCTCCGGCAGCTGTTGTGAAAATTGAGAAGGCCAGATTTTGGTGATGCCAGCCCCGTGCAGGGGTGAAAGCAGGGCTCTGGGAGGCGGGGGGAGGGGAAGGGCTTGAGTGAGCTGCTACGCCAGCCTTAGGTCACCTTACCTAGTATGTGCTTCCTTGGTAGCCTGAGCCCTGCCTGCCCCCCATGCGGGGAGTGGGGCATAGGTGAGTGTTTCCGGCCAGTTCTGCGGAGGTGTGGGAGGGCTCAGACTAGCCCTGCACTGGGTCCTGTTTCCCCTTTGGAATATAGGGCCACCCTATTGAGGACTGACTCGTAAAGCCCTCCTGTTGGCACATGGCATGACTGCAGGACCCTGGGCTCCTTGGCCCCAGCTGGATTTGGAACGGACGGGCCTGGTTAACTCCTGTGATGTCAGGGCAGAATCTGACGCACCTTGTTTACCAGAGGAAGTGTTGCCTGGTGGGGAGAGGGGGGCGTGTGGTTAGGGGTTAGGACCCAGCATTTCAAGATCTGGATTCTTTTTCCAGTTGCAAGTCACCGCACCATGTGGCTCCCTCTGCTGGCTCTCCACTTTCCACCGCGTCAGTTTCAACACTACTCGTTCTCTCCTTCAAGGCCCTTCATGAGCCTTCCCCTGCCTACTTCTCTCCATCTCTCTCTCACCGCATTCCCCAGCCCTCCGCCGCTTTTCGGACCCAGCATTTCAAGATCTGGATTCTTTTTCCAGTTGCAAGTCACCGCACCATGTGGCTCCCTCTGCTGGCTCTCCACTTTCCACCGCGTCAGTTTCAACACTACTCGTTCTCTCCTTCAAGGCCCTTCATGAGCCTTCCCCTGCCTACTTCTCTCCATCTCTCTCTCACCGCATTCCCCAGCCCTCCGCCGCTTTTCACCAGCGCTCCAGACGCTCTGCCCGGAGCCCCCCTGCACACGGAATGTGCCCCGACCTCGTCCATAAGCAGCTCTGAGTGCCGGCGAGGGGGAGGGGCAGTGCAGAGTCGCTGCTATTTCGGTACCTCGTTATTTATAACAGAATATAAACATGCTGCCGCGTGATGCAGACCCACCCAGCTGAGTGCGCCGCGCTAGCCCATTGGCCTCGGCAGTTTGGTATCAGTCTCTGTTCGTAATGGGGGTGCAAAAGGACCAGCCAAGAATGTGGCCCTCTTGTGCCAGGCACTGCACGCAGAGCAGCAGATGGGCCCAGCTGGCAGCACGGAGGCTACGGCTACTCTGCTGCCTTTTTGCAGAAGAGAATATGCAAATTGTGCTCGCATTTGCATATCTTCTTCCGATTGTTTTGCGGAAGAGGTTTTGCCGCTGAAAAGCCCCGTGTAGACAGGGCCGTTTGCTGGAAAACCCCCCTCGCAAGATCCCTTATTCCTCAAAAATCCAGCTTTACAGGATCTTGTGAAAGAGGGTTTTTCCGACAAATGGCCCCGTCTACACCGGGCTTTTTATCGGCAGAACCTCTTCCACAAAAAGAATCGGAAGAAGATATGCAAATGCGAGCGCGATTTGCATAGTCTCATCCGCAAAAAAGCGGCAGAGTAGCCGTAGGCTGACAGTCTAGAGCCGCGTTTCCCAAACC